GCCGGTATCGGGATTTAGAGAAAAACCCGGGATCGGGATTTTGGAATGGTGATCCCGATCCCGGATCCCGACACGGGATCGGGATTGGCCGAAATCGGGATCGGGATTTGGACTGGAGATCCCGGTCCCGATCCCGAATCGGGACCGGGATTGAAAACTCGGGATCGGGATTTACTAAAAAATTTTTTTAACTTTTAAATTTTTATTTTCTTCACAAACGACTCAATATAATTCTAAAATTTCCACTGCGGTGCTAAAATATTGAGTTAAAGTCTCATAGACGCATGATTTACTTTCCGGTTCAGGGCAGGGGTGGGCGCAAGAGACAATCTCAAAAAAACGCAAAACGCAAAAAAAAATGTAAGTTGGATGTGTAAAGATTTGGAGTGATATCGGGGATACAAGGGGATTATGAAGGATAATAGAGGATTTAGAGGGATCAAGAGAGTTTAACGAAGTAGCGGAGGATTATGGAGATTATCATATCAGAAGTTATTAATATCAGAAGTTATTATCAGAAGTTATTAATTGATACTATCAGAAGTTACTATCAGAAGTTATTAATTGATACCGGGGATATCACGGTATTTAGAGGGATAACGGGAGATCTGAGCTCCAGATACTGAACCGATATTTTTTAAAGCCGTTCCATGATGGAAGATTGGCATTTAAATACTCTACTTTCAGCGCCGCAGGCGAAAATTTTGAGAATTTTAGAAGGCCAGAAGCCAGATTTCTTCCTTTTCCTGCGCCGCAGGCGAAAATTTTGAGAATTTTAGAAGGCCAGAAGCCAGATTTCTTCCTTTTCCTGCGCCGCACTGAAATTGAGTGATTAAGCGATATATTCATGTCCCTCGTAAACCCTCGGTTCTCTTCAAATCTATTTAATCACTGTAAATCCACCGATATCCTTCTATGCTCCAAATCCACATATACTCCCCACAACCCCTCTTGATCACTCGATATCACACCAAATCACTCAATATTTCGTCGAAGTTTTATAGACAGCTTTGTTTAAATTTGCTCCTTTTCTGCGCCGCAGGCAAAAATTTTGAGAATTTTGGATGTCTAGATGCCAAATTTCTTCCATTTTCTGCGCCGCAGGCGAAAATTTTTCTTAATTTCATGCCTCCCCTCTTCTGTTAACTTTAATTCACAGACTTCTAGTCAATTTATAAAGTCGGGATTTGCATCGGGATCTGATGCACATCCCGATCCCGATCCCGGATCCCGGCTCGGGATTGAAATTGGCCGGGATCGGGATCGGGATATTTATTTCGGGACCGGGATCAGAAAAATCGGGATCGGGATTTGAAAAACCCGGGATAATCCCGCCCGATCCCGACCGGGATCCCGATCCCGGCCAACTCTACTTTAATTGACAGAAAATTTACATAATTTCGAAAAATAATTTAAAATAAATAGTCGAATCTCTCTCTACTGACGGAAAAATAGCAAATAAAAGGAGCTAGAATTTATTTATTTTTAAATATTTAACCAAATAAATCAGGGCTTCGATTTCTGCGGATTTTTCCTCATTTTGTGGTTTTTTGATAGGGCGATGAGGATTATTTTTAAAAATGCGGATTTGCGGATTTTTGTGGTTTGAAAATTATGAGGAGTTTTTATATTTTTCTGTAGTTTTTAGGATAAAATGCCATTATTTTCTGCTAGACTTTCAAAAATCCTCAAAATTTTCGCCTGCGGCGCTGAAAATGGAAGATTTTTGGCTTAGTCTTCCTGCTTAATCTTCCTGCGGCGCTGAAAAAGGAAGAAATAAAAATTTTTTGCGTCTTCGACGACAAAAATTCAAGTGTAATTGTCCGGATAATTGTTCGGATTTCTATAAGATTATTAAAAAATTGCATAATTCAATTGTTGGAGTCAATAAATTTAACCATAAAGTGATTTTACTTCTAGTTTTGTGTTTGATAATTTTTTGCGGATTTTTCATATCAAATGCGGATTTTTTCGATCAAAATTGCGGATTTTTAAAAATTCGAGATCGAAGCCCTGAAATAAATACATATTTATTTTTCAAAATATTTTTACAAAATTTGATTTTTAGAATTATTAGGGAAATTTTTTAAAATATTTGTGGATATCTTGAAGAATTTCTGTTATAAGTAAATCAACTTTAGAAAGAGTTTACCAAAAGTTTGGCCACCGGTGCATCGACTAATGCTTTTCTTTCATCCTTTTAGATCATTTAACCCCTGCCTAAACGTTTTAAATGCTGCTGGGCGAATCATCCTTACAAAGGTTTGACGGATAACTACCTAAAAGTTGGAGAGCTTTCATTCTCTAACGTCAAACATTTTTGCTATATTTTGGCGTTTTCTAATACTGTGAATTAGAGTAGCACGAGGTCGAGGTTTTTAGAAAAAACCGAGGTCGAGGAGCACCGAGGCTGGAAAAGCCGAGATCGAGGTCGAGGGGCAGATTTGGACCCGAGACCGAGGTCGAGTACCGAGTAAAACCAAGGTTCTTAAAAATTTGTAGAGCTTTTTTAAATCTGCTTAATTTGATAAAATTTATCAACTATTCGCTAAAGCATTATTAAATTAATATGTTCTTCTGATTCAGAGCCAGTAGGTGGTGGCCCAATATAGATCAAAAACACAAATCCATGGTCAATAATTTCAAAGCCTTGATCAAATTTTTCCAAATACTTTTGGGTTTGATTAACAAAGGACTGGAAAATCAAATTATTTTATCAAATATCAAATAATTTGAAAATGTTTTATAATTTAGTACACAGGATTTAGACGGATATCGGAGAATCAAAGTGGATATCGATGGAATTAGATGAATCAAGGGGGATATAGATTGGCTTTGATTAATTAATTGGATTCAAAGGGATTTGGGAGACAAGAAGGATATCAGCGGAGGAGTAGGGAAAGATTATATAAGGGATTTAGTGGGATTAAGAGGAATGTGAAGGGATATCGGTAAATAAGGTAAAAAAGTTTAATATCATGTAAAGCATATATTTAGCTATTAATTTCCTAAGGCTGAGCAGTAGGCGGCGTGGTGTAATGGCTAACACATCAGTCCGGTCTACTGAAGATGCTGGGTCGCTCCCAGCCGCCGATTAACCTTTTGCACTAGCTAAAAGAGAGAAATAGCTATAGCCGAGCTGCTTTATTTGATTAAGTTACTGGGATCGGTTATAATTATAAGAAGGGATATACGACACATTTTAATAAGCTGAAGGCGGCAGAAAGGAAAACAAAATAAAAAACGAAAAACTGATTATATATTTTTTCTGAAGGCGGATTCTCTCTTTATTGAAGATTTTTGCCATCTTTTCGACTATTTTATTAAACGATCATTCACAGTTTATATTTTAACGATTTTTTTGCCGTGACTTTAGTCAAACTTTTCCCTAAAATTGGCAAAAAAATTCTTTCTTTTTACATCCTTACATTAATTTTCTTTTTATTTTATGTCAACATTCTTCTTTTTTTGTCTTTATTTTAATTTTCTTATCATTTTAATGCCATTCAAAAATCTTTCTAAATTTGTTTAAATATTGCCTTATTTATAGCACTTAACAGCCTTAGGAATTAAATAGCTATATGTTTTACACCTCCCAGGGAAGGCTGTCCCTAGTCTTCTCTGAACACAAAACATATTATAATCAGTTAAAAACATTTCGCCACAAATAGCAGAACAGAAAATCAATCAAAGACCAGAATAAATTCAGATTGAAATCAATATCAACAATTCAGTCCGGTTTCTTACCAAAATTATTCGTTTTGTCTTATCGGTTTTTTAGCTTAAAGTTGTGTACTTTTGTGCCTTTTAGTATTAAAAATTAAAATATGAGAAAGAGGGGTTAGGCCCCGCGAAGCGGGGCCTAACCCGCGAAGCGTGGCCTAACCGCTCGTAAAAATTATTTTGAATCGTAAATTTATAAAGGTGAATTGGAAATTATTTAAATTAATACTTAAAAACGAACTTATTTGTAATATGTATAAAAATATTATTTAGTACTATATGTTTTTAGAAATCACTCAACAAATTCAATTATTTTGAAATTTAAATTTTTTTAAAAACATTTTTTTATTTTTTAAATTTTTAATTGATTAATTAATCAATTATTTATATACTCACATGCCAATCATATACTATTTAGAAATTATAGCTATTTCTTGATATATGTATATAGAATTCATTCCCCTAACTTCATACTTTATCTATCTACAAGAAAAAATAAATTTAAAAATTTATTTTTAGATAAAAATTAAATTTACAAATTATATAATAAGAAATAAAGCAAATCTACTTTTCCTTGGCCCGTAGAATAAATTCGGTGTAAAATAACCGCTTGAATATTTCTATTAGGTATATACTTCGTCTATCTCTTCCGCTTTCGCCTTCCAAAGAATTCCGGTTTTTCGAGCAGAATTCCGCATTTTTGGCGTCATCCGCTTATTTACTCTTTATTTCACCTAGTTACCAGGGTTGTTCCCCGTCTCGAAAGTCGAGGAATTTGGGAGATTTTTTGAAATCTCCCCGTCCCCCCTTGGGAGAATTTTCCCCGAGCTCCCTTCGAAATTTTTATGCAGATCTAAAAATATTTACTTTCCTTTGATATTTCTTTTACTCAGCAAGAGAAATTTTTTTCAACGATTGAGACTTATTTTCAGATTATTTTAACTTTTTTTATTCATGAGAACGATTTTAAACCTTTAATACTAATTTTTAACTTCAAAAACCTAGATTTTTGGAAAAACCTAGATTTCTGCGGCGCAAATAATGGAAAAAATCTGGCTTCCCAGTATTAAGAATGGGAACCACACAAAAAAGCGACAATCTTCTAGAATATATTTTCCCTAATTTTTTTTTGGCTCTAGTTTAGGTTTGTTAATTGATAGTTGAAAATATATTTAGAAGTTAAATTGTAAATAAAGTTTAAAATAATTAAAATTAAATTAAAATAAATATCTTTCAAAATAGCCCCAATTTTATCCTCAATTCTCTTTTATTTTTAGATGAAAATTTATTTTCATATTTTATTTTTTATTCTTCTTTTGCTTTATTCTATTTATGCTAGTCAAAACGAAAATAGTCGAAATCGTCGCAACCGTGGTAGAAATGCTAATCGTGTTAGTGCATTTGATGTTTTTACTGGCCAAGCTTCTCGACAAGACACTTTTAATTATGCTTTAGGTAATTTTTGATTAAAATTAACAAATTAAAAATCTTTTAGGAAATTATGCACCCACTAATCGACGATCTAACCGCCATCGTAACAATCAACAGGAAGTAGTTGATGGGCATTCTACAACTGCTGAATTTGGTGTTTAAATTAAACTAATTTAAAATTTCAAAAAGTCGGAAAAATTTAAAACATTCTACATATACCTTTTTTCATTTTCCAAAAATCAAATAAAATTAGCTTAAAGAAAAGTCTAGAGAAGTTACGAGAAGTAAAGAGAAGTCTAGAAAATATTTTTTATAAAATTATTAACTAACTATTAGTTCCTTTATTCAATTCCATAAAAATTAGTCATTTACATATAGACCAAAATCTACTTGATAATTTTAATTCATTGGCTATTAATGATAATGAAAACAATTCTCTTGCAACTAATAATCCGGGAGGTAGACATTTTTAATCTTAAATTCTTTAAAAAATAAATTTTAAAAATATTAAAAATAACTAGGTACTATTGGTTATCCGTTTAAATAATTTATTTTATTAAATTTAATTATTTTTAATTCGGTTCTTAAACGTTTTTAAAAATTTCTCGTTTATGCCTCTTTGCCCACCCTTATTTTTAAGTACATACCGATTGAAAAATTTTTTTTCTTAATTTTTAAATCTCCAAATTTTTGTTAACTAGGTAGTTATTACGTTTTAGAAATGAATTTTATTATTTTTGATATGGTAAGGTAGTATTTTATTTTGAGGCTTTCATTCTGCGTATAATTCCATTTTTCAGTCACTTTATTAAGTGGGAATATGGCTTTATTTTAAGAAATATGTTATATTTTGTTTATTTGTCATAATTCAGGCCGTAGAAGTCGTCGAAGAAACAATCAAAATAACAACAATGAACGTTTTGCTCATGCAAACAGCCCGACTCACCCTCGTATACTACTTATAACTTTTAATGCATTTTAAAATTTTGGCGCTTTCGTCGCCAAAATTTGCATTTTATTTTAGAGAATTTAATACCGTGTGTAACTTCCATTTTTCGTGGGAGATGTGGCTTTATTTTAAGAAATATATATTCTTAATTTATTTACCTAATTTCGCTCCTGGGTCTTATTCCACAAAACGACTTTTGCTGTCACTGTCGAGGAAAAATGGCAAAACGAATTAGCGCCAACGATGTTTAGGGATAATATCGAAAAGAAGACAAAGAAAACTCTGCCTCTAGCGTGTGTTCCTTATTATCTCTAACAACTTTTTTCAATAATTTGTGTTGACATGTATCTGTCGACAGCGACAGTAAAAGTCGTTTGGTGGAATATGTCCCTGGAAATCATCACATAAATGATCAAAATAATAACAAAGAAAGTTTAGCTTATACAAGTGATCCAGCTCATGAAGAGACTCGTATGTATATTTTATTATATAACATGTTGCATTTTTAAAATCTTTATATAATTTAATCAAGAAAATAAACTTTACAAATTTTTTCCATGCCAGATTATTTAAGATCATTAAATTTAATAAATAGGTAGCTTTAACGGTGATTATAAAAATATATTACTATACTTTTTCGAAAAATCTTATCTCAAATGTCAGATATTGATGATGCTGTTATCTATGATGTTCAAACACTTCCAAGTTCATCACCTCCAAGACGTATTTTCTAGAAATTTATTACTTATTTTTAAATTTAATTTTTAAATATAATTTTAAAATATTTTTATAAAAAATCCAATTTATTTGTTTAAATTTTTAATTTATTTTTTGTTTTGAAGGAGTCATAGTTCAACATCCAGGTAGAAATAACTATTCATATGGTTACAGACAGCAACTTAGAATTATTTAAATTTTCTATAAAATTAATTAGACATAAATAATTAAATTTTTCTTTTTAACAGACCCCTATTGGGAGGATTCTGAATAGTATTGTTGTCATCAACAATTTAGATAGACAAAAAAGAAGTTCTGTATCAGAAAGAAAACAAATCTAAATTTTTTGTGATATTCACAATTTTTATTATTTTATAACTTTCATTAACTTTCCTCTATATAGTTTACTTTTTTTAAATTTTTCTTCATTTTTCTTATAAATTCTAACAAAATTTTTGTCCAGATTACTGGAATTTATTTTATTTTGTAGATTTTTAAATATTAGTAAAAATTAGCAACATTTTGCAGAAATTTAAATTTTGTAAATTTATTTATAAAAATATCTAGTCTTTAGTTAAAAGAAAATTTATATACCTAATTTCGAAAGAAAATTTAAAATAGATAGCTGAACCTTTCTCTGCTGGCAGAAAAATAGTACTAAAGGAGGCAGAATTTCTTTTTTCCTTAAATATTTAACCAATTAAGTACATATTTTTCAAAATATTTTGAGAAAACTTTCATTTTTTAGATATATTAAGGAAATTTCTTAAAATATTTGTGGATATCGTGAAGAATTTTCGTTAAAATAAAGAAAACTTTTTACCATAACGTTTCTTTTTAGCTAGAAAAGCTAAATTTATTTGTGTATATAAATTTAAACATAGGTATTTAAACATACATAGGTATTTAAAAGGGGTGCATCTCGTCTCGTATCTCGTGTTTTTTAGAGGTCTCGTATCTCGTGTCTCCTATTTTGTGGCACGAGGTGCAACCCTGGTATTCAACTATTGTTTTGGCATTATTTTAATCATTAAATTTTATTGGATTTTAAAATTTTATTTTGACTATTTTGGTGAATTTAGCGACTACATAGGTACATATTTATTGACCCCTATAAGGGATCAACAAATTCAAAAAGTTATAGCTAAAAATTATAAATAATTTGATTTTAAAGTCAAACTGAATTATATTATATTTATTTATTTTGGTAAAAAAAATATTTGGATAAAAACTATCAAAAGAAAATTATGACTCAATATAGCCAAATATAAAAAATAAAATGCTTGCTTATACAAAAAAAAAGTAATAAAAATAAATTTCTTTTTTTTTATTTTTAATAAAAAAATCTTTTCCTCAAATAAAAATGCAAATAATCAAAAGAATTATTTATTTTTTAAATATTTTCCTTTCAATGATTTTTAACTCATATGGTAATAATTTTATATTTTTAATACTATTGGATAGGGTTGTCGGCTCCAGGGCAATCCGAATATTCGGAAGCGATAACCTAACTGAAATCTTTGAATGTCCAGAATAGTTCTGTGATGAAGAGGGTCTTTGGATAATTTTAGGGGTTGCAACGCTACTAATAATAATAACATTTTGAGAATTAGCAGGCCACGAAGCCAGAGTTCTTCGATTTTAGGAACCAACTCGAAATATTCGAAAGCGATAAACGAACTGAAAATTTCCGTGTATCAGACTTTTTCGGTTTGGATATCCAAAACTACAATTCTACTATCAAGTTCAGAGAGGGTCTTTGGCAGGGGATTATAAATTCTAATATTTGGACATAATAAAAGATATAATTAAGTAAATGCTTTGTTATGTTATTCATGTGAAGGCATTACTTGCAGTTATAATCAAAATCCAATTAATTGTGAATATACTGTCCGTTCTTGTATGCGTGTATATAATATTATGAATGGAATGAGTAAATTTTTAAATTAAAAATAAATAATTTTTAAATAAAAAAATTTAGCTATAAAGGCAGGGTGTCTTTTACCATTTTTTGAAAGTTGTGATATGTTACAACAAATTGGAGGGGATCAAATAAGGTTGGAAAATATTTTTGAAAAAAGTATTTCATTTATTCTTAAAGATGTACAAGTTGTGGATTTGATCATTGTAATACTATTACAGCCCCATATTTTCCGGGCCCGGGAGGGAATGATGGAAGAATTCCTTGGAGTGGTGAAGGACCAAATCCTTATTATCCAGGCGCTGGTCGCTTTCCTCAAAGGTTTTGTAATTATTTAGAGGAATAAAAAATATTAGAGTAGTAAACGATCTTAAAAATCAATAACCCTTACATTCTACATACTGTATTTATTCAATTAATTCCCCTGGGGAATTATTTTTTCAACTCATCCGTAGCATGGGGAATTAATCAAGGGAGGGGAATTATTTATTTATTCTAAGATCATTGAATTACTATTTATTTTCTCAACAATATTTTTTTATTACCTAACTAATATATTTGACTTTATAATCTATATAATTAAATGTTTAGACCGCCATATTATGGAACTGGAGGGCCTGGTTATCCCCACCTTTGGTGGAATAGTGCTGAAAATATTAATATAAATTTTTGTCTACAAATGTTGATACTTTTTTATTTTATATTTTATTTTTTACTATAAAATTTATATAATACTAATTTAAAAAATCATGAATAATGATTAAAATCATTAAAATTAATACAAAAAACATTAATTAAAATAATAATAAAATAATTAAAATTTAAATTAATTATTCAAACAATGTAATTGATTTTGTTATTTTCTAAAATATTAATTTTTTTACTATATAAAATTCTAAATTTGTTTTTATCCTCATTTTCTTTTTTACATTTAAAAAATGTTTTTAAATATTTTAATTCTTTTCGGAGTGCTTCATTGTAGTCGGAACTTAAATTTAAATAAATGTTTTTAAAATTTTTACTATCTGAAAATTTAAATGAATTATTTTAAGGAGAAGGTATTTCTGATAAGTTTGCAAACAATTCGTAATATACGAGAGTAATATATTTATACCTAATAGTGATGCTCGGGAGAGGAAAAACCCCGGGAAACGAGAGTCGGGTCGGACCTTGGGATTTTCCCTTTCCGTTGTTATTTTTTCCCTTTATTTTTTTCTTTCAAAAATTTAATTTTTATCAGAAAAAGACATTCTTAGGGGTGTAAAATTTCCCGCCTTAGTCGGGAATTGATATCGAGTGTCGGGATCGGGAGGCAAAATTCTCGGGAAATTTTCCCGAGTTGGGATTGGGATACCCGAGAGTCACTAATACCTAAGCATGGATTGAACCAAAAAATCAAATAAGGGAATAAAAATTAAATAATTTATTTATTTAAATCTATTTATCCACCTATTAATGTAAACAATTGGAGCAATTGAAGCATTTGCAATATTAAAATATAAATTTGATAAAAAGCTAATATAAAATAGTTTCAAAGGTGTAGAATCAGTTAAATAAATTATCATTATTGTAGCAGAATAAGAAAGAAAATAACCTCCAACTTCAATAAAAACAATTAGGAAAAGTGAACGGAACAATTTTTGCATACTTTGAGGAGTTAAATCTAAAAAATTATAAAAAGATATTCTATCACAAATACAATCTGATCTCGCTATAATGGCACCTTAGGCAAACAAACAGGCATAAATGAGGAGGTGATATCCGGTTGATAAGTATATCTTAGAGCTTGAACTACAATGAGACGAATGTGTAATAAAATAAAAATTAAATGATCAGACGAAGGAAATCAGGTAAAGCTGGACTATTATGAACAATTGGATAATTTACACTTAAACTATCATAATTCAATGCTTATATAACAGAGAACGAGCCGTCCCGATTCCGAATTCACAAAACCGTGAATCTTGTTTTTTATCGGCTCGTTCCAGGTATACCTATATTATAGCATCTATTAGTATCACTATATATTACAGTAACACGTATAGCGGGGCCTTTTGTATAGCGAGCTCCTTTCTAATTTTGCATATATTTAATTTTACCAATTTTTATTTTAGCCCAAATAGCAACAATTAAATAATTAATAATAGTTAAACAAATAATAAATCCAGTAAGTATATTTATTTCATTATTTAATCCAACTATAACACTTGCAACATCAGCAAGTGTAATACTAACATTTATAGTAGTCGTATTTGATAAATTTATAAAGGTATTTAGTGAAATAAAATTAAAAGAAATGGAAATAAATACAAGAAATAACATGTGAATTCCAATATATTTTTTGTAGTTAACATTAATATAACTTAGTAATTAAAATTTTTCAGTATTTTTAAAAATAATTTTTAGAGTTGAGTCAATCTTCCCCACTTGAATCGAAAAAAATTCTAATTTTTAATTAAAATTTGATCATTGACTGAAACATATAGGTAATACTTTGGTTTACGCCGCCCATTTTTTGTCTTTTTCTCTGACCATTTTGAGCTTTTTGCTTGATATAATTTATTATATATCATTCGTATTCTCAAAATTTATTTAAGACATCCCTCTCATGATTAATTTAGAAGCAAAAGTTTAACCACAGGAGAGTATTCGAACCTATGACTTCCTGACAGTTATTGCTAGGCGCTTCCGCTCCCCACATACAGGAGCTCTACCACTAACAAATGAGCTATCGGGCATTGACTAATGCTTTTTTTTACTTTTAGATCGTTTAATCCCCCGCCTAAGCGTTTTAAATGCTCTAGGTGATAAGGTTGGCAGATAGTTGGAAATCTTCGGATATCCGGATCCGATATTCGAACCGAAAATTGCGGATATCCAGCCTTTCTTCGGATCCGGATCTGCCAACCTTTCTAGGTGAATCATCCTACAATTTCCACAATTTTAACAAACATTTTTTGAGTATAACTTACAAAATTGGCAAGAAAATAGCCATAAGTCTGTCCAAACTAATTGATACAAGTAAAAAGAAGGATAAAGATGAAAAAATTAATGGAATATATAGCCATTTTAATATATCCAAAATATTTAAAAAATAAATTCCATTTAATGAAAATAAAAGGGAAATGAAATTTCCAAATTGGTGAAAACTTTCACAAAAAGATTTAATAAAAAGAAAAATGCTTGTTTTAGTTTTTATTGTTGAATATTTTTCTCTTTAAATTAAAACAAAAATTATTTTAAATTAAATATTTACCTATATTTTAAAGTAATATAACAAATACTTAAATTTAAAGGAATTCCGATAATCGAGACAATTGAATACAAAATAGTTTGAATTAAAATTTCAAAACAAAAATTGGAACAACTCGAAGAGAAAGCAAAACAAGCTATCTAAATTTATTTAATTATTAATTAATTTAATTAGAAAAAAGCTTACAGAACTAATTGTTTTGTTCATTTATTTTTATGCGGTGTTTAATAATAATTATATAATTTATTACCTAAAATATACACTTATGTAGTAAATACCTAAATCCTCTAAAATAAGCCTCCCTCTAAAATAACCCCCTCTAGAGGTCGACGAAAAAAAGCCCCGGGGCTTATTTTAGAGGATTTACGGTAATAGGTATGTAGCTCATCATCTTTGATTTTCTTTTGCATTTTTGGCATTAATTTAATCTGCTCACTCGAATTTTATTAATTAAATTCTAATTCTAAAAAATTTCAAACGAATAGGACACATTTTCAATGAGATATTTCGAAAAAGCAAGATGTTTGTTACGCCGTGTAACAAACATTATGATTAAAGCGAGGATTTATAGGCAAATGCCTATTTTTCTGCGACCTTGGCAAGATGTAATACGTTAAAAAACGTGTTTTTAGTTTGATCCGAAGAGTATATCATGACGTTTAATTTGCCTATTTTTGCCTATTTTGGACTTTTTATGCTTTTAAGCATATTTTACTCTTTTGCGCATATTTTTGCATATTTTTTCGTTTTTTTTTCAAAGAATTATGCCTAGAAGCCAACGAAACGCGGCATGGATCAGCGATTGGTTCAAAAGATCTTAAATTTATAGGTCTCTTTATATTAAATTTATAGGTCTGATAACCTTTTTTATACGGAGCAGTTCAACTGAGTCCCGGCTCAACTGAGTCCCGGCCCTATAACTCAAGTACGGGTTGGTAATTTTTAATGTTCTTGGTATCATTGGATAGAGAATCAAAAGCTCTACAATATATCAAAAAATCAGAATTTTTGACCGATTGTTAAAAAAGTTATGATATAAAAACTAACTTTTTCAAAAAAATCGGATTTTTCGGCACTTTATCGATCATAACTTTTTTACCAGTCGTTCAGGAATTTTGATTTTTTGGTATATTGTAGCCTATTTAATGCCCTATTCAATGGTACCAAGAGCAAAAAAAAGTGACCATCCCTTCATAAGTTATAGGGTCCGGGACTCAGTTGAGTCGGGACTCAATTGAGGTGTACCGCTTTTTATATTCCTATTTTTGTGCCTTTTTTGGCTTTTTGGTACCTGTTTTAGGCGCCTATTTTACTGTTTTTACGTGCCTAACTATCCTCGCTTTAATTATGATATTTAGCTAAATTTAAGTACCATTTTAAAAGGTACATATTATTTCAATCATAATTTTCAATCATAATTTATTATTTCATTCATAATTTAGAATTAAAAAATATTCTAAATTTTAATATTCTAAATTCTAAATTAATTGATTCTGTATTACCCTAGTAATGTATTATATTTTGAAAAAAATTTTATTAAAAGAATTAGAAACTTTCAATATGTAAATATTTTTTTGAATGTTAACATATTTAATAAATACGTACTATATTGTAAAATATTTTAATATTCACCCTTAATATTTTTAACGTTGCTATGTAATTAACTATTTACAACTTTAATTTCTTTTTAATAAACTTTTATTAAAAGTATACCGTCCACTTTCTTAATACTTTGAAATCAATACACTTAATCTACTGATTCTTTTGAACTTTATATATTACAGGGCTCCGATTCGTACTTTTTTAAAAGTATTGTACTTATTTATCGACCTTCGTACTTCCGAAATTGAATTTGTACTTTTTTGAAAGTATGTACTTTTTTATCAACATTTTTGAAAAAACGAAGAAATCTGGCTTAAGGACCTCCAAAATTCTCAAAATTTTCGCCTGCGGCGCTTCTCAATGGCAAACATTCAATGGACGAAGGAAAGAAACTCGCTTGAGGTTGACTGTCAGAGCTTTGCTTCATGTGACAGCAAATTTTGACATGTCATGCAATGAAATGCACAAAATGCTCAGTTGAAACAAGAAATTATTAGAAAAGATTAATTTAGGAGAGAAATATAAAAGATTGATCACGAATAAATATTTTCAAATTTAATTTTGAGTGTACTTTTTATTTGCAAATTTTCTCCCTATGTACTTTTTTTACAAGATTTTGATACTTTTGAGTGGCATTTTGTCGATCGGAGCCCTGATATATTATATTATTGGAAATTCTATCGAATATTCGATAAATTTTTGACGAATTATTTGAAAAGATTTTCGAATACCATTTTCTCGATATATGTATTCGGCAAGTAATATTTTTAATTAATTTGAAATTTCCTCATCGAAAAAAACAATGTCACTTTATAATGTCAAAACTAGAGATCGGAACGGGATCGGGACCCGGTCCCGTTTCCCGGTCCTTTTTCCCGGCTTTTTTGAAGATGCCGGGATGAAACCGGGATCGGGAATTCCCGGTTTTCCCGGTCCGGGTCCCGGCCGGTTAATTTTCATTTCCCGTTTCCCGTTCCCGATCCCGGCTTTTTTTGGACCGGGAAACCGGGAAAAATTCTAACAGCTAATTTTAAATATTTTTGCTTGGCGTTTTGATTTTTGACTTAAAAATATTGGAGATTTTACAAAAATTCTCAAAATTTTCGCCTGCGGCGCTGAAAAAGGATGAAATTTGGCTGTTTGGCCTTCCAAAATTCTCAAAATTTTCGCGGAAGAATTTGGAACGGAGAATTTTTTTATAGTGCGATTTTATCAAAGGACCTGGTGATTAGCCTTCTTTATCCCTCTAAATCCATTAGATCTGCCTTAATCATCATTGCCTTCCAATTGAAGGGATGTGAATAGATATCAGGTGATATAGGTGGTTACGGTCTTTCTCCATACTCTCTCTTAATGTTCCCAACAAATACTTGAATCTCTCGATATCTCTTTAAATCCCTGATATCACTATTGCACAGAGAAGATCAGAGTGGATTTGGATGGATTAAATAAAAATTAAATTAAATAAAAATTAAATCAGCATCAAAGTGGATTAGGAGGGATTAAGGGGGATTAGATGAGGAATACATACAGGCGGTATAAAAAATTTGAGGAGCCTATCGGGAGATCTTAAACTCCAAAATCTGCTAATATCCCACAATTATTCTCTAGCCTCTCAAATCCCTTTAGCCCTACGTAATCCGCTTTATGTTTTAATTTATTGTAATTTACATTTCTTTTATTGATTTATTTTACTGATTTATTAAATTCTTCTATTTATAAATCAGATTTTTCAATACATAACTACTCCCATAACTTTTTAAAATTTTTAAATGAATTTAAAATTTTTTTTAAATTTCCCGGTTTCCCGGTCCGGGTCCCGGTCATTTTTGACCGGGATGAAACCGGGAACGGGAATTCCCGGTTTTCCCGGTCCGGGTCCCTCCCGGTCGACCTTCAGAACCCGTTTCCCGGTTCCCGGTCCCGGTTTTTTCAAAATTCCGATCTCTAGTCAAAACCGCTTAAAAATGTTTAAACCACAAAAAC